GCTGAACTAGCATATAATGCTGAGCTCATACTACCAGGCATAACCTAAACAGGCTATCCTATTACTATCTACTCAATACTAGCATGCAATTCTCATAAGCTGAAGCACATAAAGCAGGCACATAAGGCATCATCCCTAGATCCTTAGTCCTATTCTAGCATGCTGTTCTACTGCAACTGATAAACATAAGATAACTTGTATGGGTACTATGGGGAATACTTACTTGAGCTCGGCCGGTTGCGCACATCACACACTTTGATCTTTCTTAAAACTCTTTTACTCAAAGTCATTTTCTTTGTAAAAATCTTTTAATCCCTCGATTTGAGTCCAGACACCCTCAAGGGTGCGTCCGAATCCCTCAAACCAGGGCTCTGATACCAACTTGTAACGACCCAATTTTCAAGTCCAAAATTTTCATTTTTAATTAATTGATTTATAGAAACATTTATACGAAAACACCAGCTAATAATAACTTTTTATAAATCCACAACTCATGTCTGAAAACCACTCACAAAATAAAACAATGTCAGAGTACAATCCCAAGAAACTCTAATGCGGAAAACCAATATGTGTGTGTATGATGTGCCACTACCGTGCCAGCTCCTTCCCCTTCGCTGAAGAGGTACCTGAAACCAAAACTGTAAACTGTAAGCACGAAGCTTAGTGAGTTCCCCCATCGTACCACATACCATACAATCACATAGCATACATACTGCCAGGCAATTCTGGGGTGCCCGACCTACCCGGTACGACCATTCTGGGGCGCCGACCTACCCGTACGGTCATTCTGGGGTGCCGACCTACCCATGCGGCCATTCTGGGGTACCGTCCTACCCGTGTCAAGCCATTCTGGGGTGCTGACCTGCCCGTCGGTCCTAACAACCGATCATCGGGGACTATTCCACCCCCTACTGCTACTATCACATATATCATGACATGAACATACTATCAGACTTATCTGGGGTGTCCGAACTACCCTTCGGTCCTCACAACCGAACTTGGGGACTATTCCCCTCCTACTACCACTATCACATATAACATATCATGTCAGCATTTAAACATATCATCACATACTGTCAGACATATCTAGGGTGCCTGACCTACCCTTCGGTCCTAACAACCGAACTCTACTACTATCACATATAACATATCATGTCAGTATATAACATATCAGGTAGTAGCAAACCTAGATGATATCACAAAGACAATCATCTAACATACAACTCCTACTGGTGGGCCGACATTGTGGCCGTAGACCCACCGCTACTGAAAGGGTAACTCACCTCGAACAAGTAGCTGCTGATAATCCGTGTGGGAAGTCTCTGTCTGCTGGTGCTCCGGAAATCCTCCGGCTACAATCCCCACAAACACTTAGTCAGAAACTGACATCTACTCTTAGGGTAAAAGGACTATTCTACCCCCCAATCAAGTCCAAGTCAAAGTCAACTTCAAGTTGACCCGACTCGCCGAGTTGGGCCGTCAACTCGCCGAGTCCCTCACCCTTTACTCGTCCTCAGCCATGACCCCACTCGTCGAGTTGGGCCGTCAACTCGGCGAGTTCTTCTCTCATATGAACATCACATGAAAACTCATCCGACTCGCCGAGTTGATGAACAACTCGTCGAGTTCACCTTCATCCTTAAGAAGATTGCCTTGGACTCGTCGAGTCCAGTCTTGACCAATTCCATACAGTCGATTTAAATGAGATCTAACACACCAAAACCATAGATCTGGCCTCCTAATGCCCACTTTATACGTAAAGTTCCAAACTTGATGCACATGCATGGGGTTTTTAGCTCAAAAATCCACATAAAGTGTCCTACAATGTGCATGGGGCTCTCATGGCCCTAAAGTTGGCACCTTTATGCCATGAGCCTCTTCTTAAGGTCCAGATCTGAAGTCAAAACCCACTCAATACTTCCAATACCGAAACATGACTTAGTAATCCAAAGAGATCCCAAGTTAAAGATGAATAAACACATAGATGAGTCAAGACAGGGGCATTATACCTTGAAGCTGCTGAAAATGAAGTAAAATCCCTGGATCTACTGTCCCCAACTCAAATTCCAAGCTCCTTCCTTCCTTCCAAGCTTTACAACCATACAAGAACACCAAAAATGGCCTCAACAACGCACAAACGGCTAGGGTTTCAATGAGAAGTGTTTTGGGAGCATAAGGGACAATATGGCCGTCATATCATTGCTTAAATAGGGTGCAAACCCTCAGATTAGGGTTTTTGTCCGAACAGTACCTACTCGCCGAGTCCGGAACCCGACTCGCCGAGTTCATCACTTAAGTCCCGCGTTCCGTCCCGCTTTTACTCGGCGAGTTGGTCCTTCAACTCGCCGAGTCCAAGGCCAAAATGCGAAAAATATATAAGTAGCTAATGAAGGAAATACGTACCAAGAACCAGGTGCTACACACACACACACACACACACACACATATATATATATATATATATATATGTTGTTGGTCATTTGATTTTTTATTTCATTTCTTATTTAGCGTTTCACTATTTTGCGGTCAAGTACAAGAGTATGTCCTTCCATTTACCAGTGGTGCACTCAAACAGAGTGCTGCACCAAATGCTAGAGTTACAAGCATTACCACAACAAATGATTTTTACTATTTTCCAAAATAGAAAATGTGATTGTTACCAAACATAAAAGATAAATAAGAAATATGAAAAAGATGTTTATCGTTTCTTACTTAGTAATCTTTGTTCATTGTTGCTACTAATTTTATATATTCTTTTCTTTATATGGGGAATTGAAGTTACAAAACAAAGCAAAACAAAGCAAATGATATACTGAGTGTAATGTTAATCTATTTACATATACTTATGTTAAATTGTTATGGTTGATGATATCACCGATTACCAAACATGTAAACATTGTTAATGCAAAACCAATTTATTCTTCTTATACTTCAATTAAATTAGGAATGTTAATTTATTTAAACTTTTGACAATAAAATATTTTAAAAAATCTATTAATCGGAAACCTCCAAGTGATTTAAAGACCGGTTTCAAAATCTTAAGAATAACCAATTTCGGTTCCAAAATTAGTGTGTTCTGAAACCAATTAAAATACAAAAATAATATGCAAAGATCAAGACTACCTTTGATCAGCCGAAAGTCCCGTTCGCCCATTTTTTTTCTATTTATAATGTTTTATTGGTAACCAATCAATTTTGATCAACAATATAGCCTAATGATTAATAATTACGATTTTTCAAATTATGAATACTATTTATCTTTTGTCCTCTAACTATTGAAATTATATCATTAGTTGCAGTTTGATATGGTTTAATCTTTTTGGGTTGAATCCAAAATTGAAAGAACCTAAGGAGGATCTTCATTATTTTTTATTTAGCAAACACAAAAAGAAGCTCTTTGTTACTTGTTTCGTTCATCATATACTAAGAATTGTTTCGATGTGAATAATTGGTTAGACATATATTTGCAGATGCATTCCTTTTATTTTAATATCACATATATCAAGAGATGAAATAATCCCTAAAGGAAAACTATTCGATGTTTATTAAAAAGGAAACTAACCACCGAAACAAAACTATTCATAAATATAAACTAATTCACGTAGCCTTGATTATAAATATATTATAAATGATATTTGTAGATTCTTTCACTAAAAATATCTTTTACCGAGAAAACTATAGAAACTCCCTCCCACCCTTATGGCCGTCCACCGCATTGCGCGGGTAGATGGCTAGTATATATATATATATATATATATATATATATATATATATATATATATATATATATATATATATATATACACTAGCAATTGGCCCGCGCAAAGCGGCGGCAAAAGATTAGTTTGTTATTAGAGAACATATTCCAAAAAAACAGTTACCATATTGGTCAATCGAATATGGAAATTTTTGAACTTTCGCGTTTTATTGGACATGCGTTCTAAGTCTATTGATTGTCTTTATGTTTGTTCGGTATGTACTTTCTTACATTGGATTCATTAAACCAAAAACAGATAATATACAACTACATTTTCATCTGGTATGATACTAGGAAAAGTGTCATCGGTGAATAGCTTTTTTTCGGAGATATTTCACATTCCAAAAAACATGTGGTGAATATTTTTAATAAATATGTTGAATATTAATTGGGTAGGTTGGTTTTAACATGCTATTCTATCTCTTTGTTGATTTTGTAGCTTTTGGGTAGATTCTTTCTACAATTGTTCTAACAATAATCTCTTTTGTCTTTCAAGAAAAAACATGTGGCGAACAAAAAAAAATTTAGTGGTCACTTTGCTTTTCGATTAATATATTTATCGATTTTGCATTTGTTGTATGTGTGTTTTTATATATTAATCGGTTTTGCATTTGTTGTATATGTTTGGTTTGCTTTTGGATTGATTTAGAAATTATCAAAGATCACCTATAGTCGTTTACCCGCGCAAAGCAAGCAGTAGTGACAATATCAAACCATTACGTGTTAACGATAAGACCACCTAATAACTGTAAAATTACTCCTCGTAGTTACATATGAAGGAGATTATAATCATACTTTCAACAAATATCTCATCACATAAGTCAATCTTCCATTGTCATCTCGACAAATGCCTATACGGGTTCAAAGACAACCTAGAAACTTAGAAACATGGAATCTATGAAATAAAATAAATAAATAAATAAACCTGTACATAAAAAACACAAAAACACAAAGGGATGCACTTTGTTTTTACTTATTTTTGAGTGGATAAGGAAAAAGGGCTGAGATCTGGACAGAGGTTCGAGCTCTGTACCTGTACCTGGGAAATGTTAATAACAAATAAATATTAGGAATAAAAACTGCAAAAACATGAAAAATGACATATGTTTTGTTGTAATAGCCTGTGCGCTGGTGGTGACCACCGTCGAAGGTGTGCTCCTCGTAATGACATCACGACGGAGCTGTCACCCGACTGCCGGTGAAGTCTGTACTGCGTTTCAGGCGCCATGTAAATACGGAAAAAATGGTTGCCATCAGATCTACCAGAAAACCGTACAAGTTCAGCACCATTGACTGTGAAAGACCTAAGGATGGTTTCACTGCCGGCCGCCCTTTTCCATTCAAAGTCGGACCTAGTCAATGCATCCGGATTCTAACTTCTGTGCATGGGCTGGTATGCGTTGGCATACTAAAGAGTGTACCCTTTAACGTTATATCTAATGCTGAATACTGTGACCTAATTCTATGGAATCCTGCGACGGATGAATATAAGACGTTGTCAAAACCCCTGGCCTTTTCTCATAATGATTGTTACAATACCCATGAAAGTCTATTCGGGTTGTATCATAGCTCTTGGGACGACGACTACAAGCTTCTACGTGTAACCTGGCACCCCAAGGTTTATATATACTCTTTGAAATCCGACTCATGGAGAAAGGTTGAATCGGACATCCAACGTACTAGGCTACACTACTTTTCACAATATATTTGGGGGCCAAGTGTTTCGTTGAATGAAAACCTCTATTTCTTAGAACATGTTGGCTACACATATTCAATTATGAGGTTCAACACAAAGACCGAAACCCTCAAAGTGATAGCAACTCCTTTTTCTGAAAATCAAAGGACATCATGGTTGAGTTTCACGATTCTAAGAGATGGTTGCATTCACTTGTGGGTGAACACTGTAATTAATCCTGTGCCTTTGTCTTCTGAGAACCAGTTGTGGAGGATGGAGGGAGATGGAATTTGGACCAAGTTGGAAAACTCGACCATGATTTTGTGTGACTATCCTATTCAGTATCACCATCGACTGCACTTGATGAGGAATGGAAATTTGCTCACGTATGATAGAGGTTGTGTTTACCAACTAGATATGAAAACGCATAACAAAGACTTATGTTCATATACCACCAAAACAATGCGTGTCTGGCCAGGAGGAAAATACATAGAGACTATGGTGTCACCCAATCAATATGCGAATAAGTGAAGAGGTAGTGAAGTAACACCTCTTCATCGGAATCCTTGTTGATTTTAGTTTATTCATTTTATATCCTATATGCAACTATCCATTTTATATCCTATGCAAGTATCTACTACTATATAACTCAAATTTTTGTCTTTTGGATAATTTGCTTGTTACATGCGCTACTATGGTAACTGAAAGGCCGGTACTTAACACATGTATAACACACACCCGGAAGGTAGGCGTTGTTTTGCTTAATGACACCAACAAAGTTGTAAATTTTGTCCATTTATATACCAACACGATAGAGATTAAACATGAAACGTCGTCTATATTGGGTACGAAATTAACAACATATCCCTAACATATATAAGAGAATCGAATATGTTTGTTTCATGCTATGGTCTAGCTTGTGGCTGTTTCACCAGAAAATGAAAGAAGATATATGTCTAAATTCTATGGCCAGTCCACATTTATTAAGGCTACTTTCTCATTAGCTGGATTGACATTATATTATTTATTGCTTATTATCATGTTGGATAATCACATAAATGATAGAAAAACTTGGGACACTTGTTCCTGTGATGGGTCTTGCTTACAAAAAGAATCATTTATGAAGGCAGAAACTTGATGTCCAAAAACTATAAATGAGATGTTATGAAGAGAACATGCTCAACAGATGCCTTTTATTATATCCCGTTATGTTTTACATATATTTGTTTTTTAATATTACTCTTCTCTTTTACTTACACTCATGATCTATTCATATTTGCCACATACGCACTAGTGCTTTTCAGGTTGCATCCTGCAGAGTTATATTAGAGATTTTTAATGTGACCTTACAAGTCTATATCTAGACCTACTATATATTTTTTTGGAAACAGCCAATGGAATTAATAAGCCCAAGCAAAGCAAGTAGCTGGACAAGGGTAGAACATACAAACAAGGATTCAGATCAAAAAACAAAAAACAAGGAAGTTACATAAGAGAAAAGGGAGAAACATTCCATTCATCCCAACTATAAATACCCATTTTGCCCCTGCACTTAATCCATGTGTATGTTGGTGACTTAATGACGTCCACCCCTTTAGTTGGATTGATAAAGAGATGCTCAAATACTCTGTCATTCCTGAACTTCCATAACCCTCATATATATTAGACCGTAACAGATGATTAGAAACCTCCTGTGTTTTTTCACACACCTACTCCACGACTCAGCAAATTCTAATAAATCTTGAACATTATAGGAGTTACATACATTAACCCCACACCAACTGAATAATTTTTCCTGTATACTTGCGTATGGGCATGTGGAACTTCAAGATCAACTGAATATAAATCCCGCTGTATGCTCTGATAGGAACTTCATTGCATCATGTTAAGGGAGGATTGTAATTCACAGAGGAGTGCATATCAAACTTACTTCTTAGGACCTCTATCGTGTAGTTCCCATCCGGTGCGAGGGTACATGACCAGTGATCATCACCATCACATAGACATATTGATATGCACTTAGACAGAGTCTTAGACTTCCACTTAGACAGTTTGGATTGGAATTTATCAATCACTGGTTTCCAACCTTTGATTAACTTCATGTTGGCTCCAACGGGAACCCCCAAGTAGGTGAAGGGTAAAGTAGTAGCTTTGCAGCCAAGGATGTTCGCCCAATTGTACGTTTCAGTGATTGAGGCACATATCCCAAAAACCTTTGGTTTATTGAAGTTCACCTTAAGTCCAGACGACGCGTGAAAACATTTTAGAATGCGAGCGAGATTCTTCAGATTGGACCTCGACCATTCACCTACGAATAGCACGTCATCAACATAAAACACTTGTGATATCATAGGCTCGTTACCTGGAAGTTGAATACCTTTATAGATACCCTTTTCTCCTGTTGTTTTAAGTGCAACATTTAAACCTTCCATGGCAATTATGAATAGGAACGGAGATAAGGGGTCACCTTGATGCAAGCCCCTAGAAATATTGAATTCCTTTGTATCGCATCCATTCATAATGACCGATGCTCTAGATGAGGAAAGGCATCCTCGGATCCATGCTCTCCACTTACTACCAAAAGCCATCTGATCGAGGACTGAATCAAGATAGTTCCAATTGATAGAATCGAAGGCTTTGTCGAAAACAACTTTGAATAACAACACCTTTCTCTTGATTTGCTTAGCCCATGAACAGATCTCATTGATAATTAATGGACCATCAAAGATGTTACGTCTCTCCACATAAGCAGATTAGACATCCCTAATGACTCCCCCAATGATGGTTTTGATAAGATTGGAAAGGATCTTAGATATAATCTTATATAGGCATCCAATAAGACTAATGGGACAAAAGTTATTTAATGAGGCAGGATCTTTTGTTTTAGGAGCCATAGTAACGAATAAGGAGTTACAGCCACGAGATAGAGTGCCATAATCTTCAAAATGGCAGATGAAACGCATCACATCAGGTGAAACAAGGCTCCAAAATTGCGTGATGAATTTGAAGGTAAACCCGTCAGGTCCAAGGGCCTTCTCGCTTCCGCAAGCCCAAACAACTACTTTGGCTTCTTCAAGGCTAATTGGGACACGAGCTCTTTGTTTCAGATCTAGAAGCGCCAATTTCTCGAGTTCAATAATTTTTTGTAACCATTGCAACGAGTTTTGAGTTCATCTTCCGATAAACTTCTCATTTCAGTCTCCTTCTCTAGTTTTGTGATTATCTCCTTTAGTTCGAGTACCTCGTGGTCTTCTTTTCGTCTATCCTCATTCCTCCACTTCCTTATTTTTCCCTTGGAATGTTTGAATTTTGCTGCAAAGTAAGCATCCGGCAGGCCATAGCCATCAAAAGAGTTTCATGCATTGAGGACGATACGGTCTAGTCCGTCTTTAAGTAATCAAGAATTATAAAACCTAAAAGGTGGTGGACCAAAGTTTTCCATATAAGATGTTAGCGTGATTAGGCAGTGATCTGAGAGACCACGAGGATACGTAGTGGCTGAGATAATAGGGAACTTGGTTAAGAAGTTTGAACATCACAGGAATCTATCAAACTTACTGAGTTTTGCACCAACACTACTCATGTATGTAAATTTCTCACCACCCATAATATAATAAATAAGACCAGCTTTAAGGATGAACGTGTTAAATGCCTGGGAACTAGTGGAGCAAAATTTTGAGTTGAATCTTCACTAGCACTTCTAACCACATTGAAATTGCCAAATAAGATCCACTGTCCCTTTTTAGTATGTTGGATGTTAAGTAGATCATCCCATAAAGTTTGTTTATTAGTCACCGATTGTGGACCATATATATTGGCAAAGATGGTGTTCCTGCCAATCTCTTTCCATTTCCCAATTACGATTACAAAGTGACGAGATTTGATAACTTTAGATTTTTGGAAGAAGTTCGTGTTCTAGATGGAGATGAGCCTCCTTGACCATCCACTCGAATTGACATCGTCATCTTCGAAATCATCTGATTCCCAACACCCCTTCACGTTTATACGAGCGAAATCTGATATTTGAGTTCTTGAATCCCCATGAAGTTGATTTTGTAAGTTTTCTGTAGTCGCCTAACCTAATTTAATTTCACATCTGTCCCCATACCTCATACATTTAGAGAAAGACGGTTCATTGATGAAGTTTCTTACCACCAATGTCACCCATGACTTGCGTGAGAACAGGATTGTTCTCGCCAACTTGAAAACTAATAATTCTTATTATTATGGTAAAGATACAAATGTTTTGTACAGCAAAACTACAAGCAAATCACACATTTAAATACAGGAGAGTAAGACTAGAGAAAAGGTAAAGAGGAAATTAGGGGAGGGAATTAAGGAAAGAAATCAGTGAGAAAAAAACACATCCTTCTTTAATCCCCCTCAAGTTGAGACATGTAAATTTTGAATGCCCAACTTGTCGAGCAGCGTATAGAAGTGTTGATCTCCGAGTGGTTTGGTCAGGATGTCGGCAATTTGCATTATGGTAGATATCTCCATGGGTTGTATTTCATTGGATTCGACACGTTCTGTAATGAAGTAAAAATCCATTTCAACGTGTTTGGTGCGTTCATGAAATACATGATTGTTTGCAATATTACGGGCTGCCTGATTATCACAAAATAGTTGTGTCCGTCCTGAGCTAGTCATGCCAAGTTCAGCTAGCAGCCACCGAACCCACAAAATCTCGCTTACGGTAGATCCCATAGCCCTATATTTGGCTTCGGCAGATGAGCGAGAAACGACGGATTGTTTCTTCGATTTCCATGAAATGGGAGACCCTCTTAAAAGCAAGATATATCGGGTTATAGATCTTCTAGTGATGGGGCACTTAAGCCAATCTGAGTCACAATATCCGATGAGATTAGTTCCACCCTCTTTAGTGAGGAGTATGTCCTTCCCTGGTGTAGTTTTTAGATACCGAAGTACTCTAGAAGCCGCAAACCAGTGCCCTTCTCTCGGATCACTAACGAATTGGGTAAGGACATTTACAGCATAAGCAATGTCGGGACGAGTAACTTGCAAGTACCTGAGTTTTCCAATTAATCTACGATATTGATTGGCATCCACTCGATGATCATCATCACGTTTGTCTAGTTTCAAGTTTTGCTCCATGGGAAAGGTACTTAAACGACATCCCATCATCCCAGTTTCTTCCAAGATGTCAAGTGTGTATTTGCATGGACTCAACACCATCCCTTGTTTCGTTCGTGCCACCTCAACCCCAAGAAAGAATTTTAAGGGCCTGAGGTCCTTGATGCTAAACTGATCGTCAAGGAATTGTTTGGTGGCATGGATTTTGTCTAAGTTATCTCCCACAAGCATAACATCGTCGACGTAGATAAGGGCGGAAACAAAAACACCCCCTTCTTTTAACAAAAACAATGAGTGATCCGCCTTAGATTGCTTGAAACCGTAACTTTGTTAGGAGGTGGTGAAATTTTGGTACCAGTTCCTCGATGCTTGCTTGATCCCATAGATGGATTTCTTAAGTTTGCAAACACGATTATCATTTGGCTTCTCGAACCCTT